GTAACAAGACCAATTAAAAAAAAACAAATACAAATACCCTAAATATAAGTTAGCTTAAATGTATAATTTAAATAGAAGGAATGATAATGACTAAAGAACACCCATATTCAAAATTAAAACATATGCTACATGTAAAATACAATCAGTTGTAATTCAGTTGACCATGGCATGCTCATTATAACAAATGATTAGTGCTTGGCAAGAATGGTTGTAGTCTGTTTAATATAACAACGACAAATGCACTACAAGCATGACATCAATTCACATCATTTTCCTTGTGAACATTTTGTAGTTAATGTGAGCTATGCTACTAGATCCTATAAGAGTAAACATTTTAAAATGACAATTTCTTCTAGACATCCCAATTTGAGTATCTATAATTGCATTACATTTCTAACATTTGTAATACAATTGATGTTATATTCTATTACTTTCATGTCAGCTTTTACTCTACATGATTGAAAGAACCATATCAAGTTTGCACACAGAAACTTTCATTTAACCATTTCCAGACTGAACATTCCAGGTCTTACCTGGAATTACTTGTGATGTATTCCCACAAATGTCTTCCAAAATAAAATTCTAACAGAGATGCTGAGACTTAAAATTTTCTTTTGATGCAAGATTTATTAACATTTGTTTTGGATGAAATAATTTAAACAAAATTAAATTCTAACTGTAATTATTGATTTTTTGGCCTTCCATTAAAATTTTTCATTCAGATGGTGGAAACCATTAAATTTTCCGCTTGCACAGAAGAAACTTACCAGAAATCCATAGATTTACAGCAACTCGAAGCTTATATTTAGTTAAATTAACTTAAAAACAGTGAATTTTTGAAGTTGGTGATGTTAGATATATTATCATACATAGACTCTAAAAAAGAAAATTAGATAAATATTATTTATTTATATTAGTTTTAATACTTTAATGATTTTTCATTGCATCATTTCTTTCAACAAAGTGGCATAGTGTAGACGTTTTTAGGCCTACTTGCAATATAAGTATCAACACTGACAATCATCTCAGCCATTATGCAAAGCATGTACAATGGCATAGCATACAGTTCTGTTACTTCGTGATTTGGAATGTATTGTAAATCATAATCTGACCAAAACAAATCACACTTATGTTTCAGAAGGTGAAATACATATCATGTCATATATTTAAAATATCTGTGTTTCAGATTAGGTGATGTTTATGAGTTATTAAAATAAACTAAAACCAACAGTTAAATGGTTAAATTTTCAAAAACATCACTAACGTAGATACTCTCCAAATGGTCAATAAAATAAAAGTGTATGAGCACTGATTCTATTGATAACTAATTAACTAAAAGACAGGTGTTGTATGATGTAAAAACTATAAAAAATATTCATAGCTAAATATTTTTGAACAACTGGTACTACTTAAAACTCACATGAAAGCTTCCCAATCCCAGGATAAGCAAGTTTATATCTTTTTCTGGACTACACAATTTTCTTGAACTATCTTGCTCTTTCTTCAAAGTTTTAATTAGCTATATGAACTATGTGTATTAAAATACAGCCCTTAACATTAACCAAAACAATATCTGGGACAAACCTATATTACAGCAAACAAAACAATATATGGGACAAACCTATATTACAGCAAACAAAACAAAAATTAACTAATAAGTTAATGAGCGAGTATTAATATAAATAGTTTTAATTTTTAAGAGTTACCCAAGGAAGCATTATTATGACCTTAAAAGATGAGTTCTCTCTTTAGCAATATCAATAAATAATAGCACACAAACTTTTCGTTCAGTAGCCCATTTTGTCAAAGTGTGCAATAATCTAATTGCAACTCACTGTAACAAAAAAAAATTAAGTTAATATTTAAAAAGAAAGTATTCTATTAAACAAAAGTGTCTTTGAGATAACAATGATACGTTCAGATTCTCACCTCTTGCATCACCATGTCCTGACACTTCCGAATAAACTGGCCTTCGGCTTTGACGATTGTTTGAAGAAATTTCAAATACTGGACATGACGACCATGAGTTTCAATACAGTGTACAAAGTGTTGCACAACGTGTTCATTGATCTCGTTGCACAAACTTATATTGTCTTGAAAGATACTTCGAATTGTTTGAGCTTCCAGAAGCTAAAACAAAGATAATTTATTCAGTAATTAAAATACTTGTCACTTATCAGGTTAAGAAGTACATTAAATAATCATTACAGTGGTTTTGATCTTTGATTTCATAAATAAAAACATATGATTGAAAATTTTGTATTTACTATGACATTTTTCTCTAAAAGTAGTAAATAAAAAAATAAAAAAATCACACATTATACTTCCTGTTAAAAGTTGGTGATGATAATTTTAAATGTTATTAACTCAGACATAAGCTTTGATGACCAAATAACTGAGAACAAAACAAGCATATTAAGAACCAAACAGGACATTACTGTTAAGCCACAAGGTGAGAGGGT